ATTGAAGGTCCCCAAGAACACAGTGGCCTCCATCATTCTTAAATGGAAGAAGTTTGGAACCACCAAGACTCTTCCTAGAGCTGGCCGCCCAGCCAAACTGAGCAATCGGGGGAGAAGGGCCTTGGTCAGGGAGGTGACCAAGAACCCAATGGTCACTCTGAAAGAGCTCCAGAGTTCCTCTGTGGAGATAAGAGAGATAAGAGAGCTTTCCAGAAGGACAACCATCTCTGCAGCACTCCACCAATCAGGCCTTTATGGTAGAGTGGCCAGACAGAAGCCACTCCTCAGTAAAAGGCACATGACAGCCCGCTTGGAGTTTGCCAAAATGCACTTAAAGGACTCTCAGACCATGAGAAACAAGATTCTCTGGTCTGATGAAATCAAGATTGAACTCTTTGGCCTGAATGACAAGCGTCACGTCTGGAGGAAACCTGGCACCATCCCTACGATGAAGCATGGTGGTGGCAGCATCATGCTGTGGGGATGTTTTTCAGCGGCAGGGACTGGGAGACTAGTCAGGATCGAGGGAAAGATGAACGGAGCAAAGTACAGAGAGATCCTTGTTGAACACCTGCCCCAGAGCACTCAGGACCTCAGACTGGGGCGAAGGTTCACCTTCCAACAGGACAACAACCCTAAGCACACAGCCAAGACAACGCAGGAGTGTCTCTGAATGTCCTTGAGTGGCCCAGCCAGAGCCCAGGCTTGAACCCGATCGAACATCTCTGGAGAGAACTGAAAATAACTGTGCAGCAATGCTCCCCATCCAACCTGACAGAACTTCAGAGGATCTGCTGAGATGAATGGGAGAAACTACCCAAATACAGGTGTGCCAAGAATGTAGCATCATACCCAAGAAGACTCAAGGCTGTAATCTGAATATTTATGTACGTTTTTTTATTGTAATACATTTGCAAAAATTTCTAAAAACCAGTTTTTGCTTTGTCATTATGGGGTATTGGGTGTAAATTGATGAGGGGGGAAAACTATTTAATGAATTTTAGAAATAAGGCTGTAACGTAACAAAATGTGGAAAAAGTCAAGGGGTCTGAATACTTTCCAAATGCACTGTATGCATCTGTCGGTCACAGATACCTTTAGAAAAAAAAGTAGGGGCGTGGATCAGAAAACCAGTCAGTATCTGGTGTGACCATTTGCCTCATGCAGCGCGACACATCTCCTTCGCATAGAGTTGATCAGGCTGTTGATTGTGGCCTGTGGAATGTCCCACTCCTCTTCAATGGCTGTGCGAAGTTACTGGATATTAGAGGGTGGAAGTTGCTGTATACATGCTCAATGGGTGACATGTCTGGTGAGTATGCAGGCCATGGAAGAAGTTGGACATTTTCTATGTTCATTCAAATTGCCATCGATAAAATGCAATTGTGTCTTTTGTCCGTACCATAACCCCACCTCCACCAAGGGGCACTCTGTTCACAATGTTGACATCAGCAAACCGCTCACCCACACGACGCCATACAATTGGCCTGCGGTTGTGAGGCCGGTTGGACGTACTGACAAATTCTCTAAAATGACGTTGGAGGAGGCTTATGGTAGAGAAATGAACATTCAGTTCTCTGGCAACAGCTCTGGGGGACATTCATGCAGTCAGCATGCCAATTGCACGCTCCCTCAAAACTTGAGACATCTGCGGCATTGTGTTGTGTGACATAACTGCACATTTTAGAGTGGCCTTTTATTGTCCCCAGCACAAGGTGCACCTGTGTAATGATCATGCTGTTTAATCAGCTTCTTGATATGCCACACCTGTCAGGTGGTTGGATTATATTGGCAAAGGAGGAACGCTCCCTAACAGGGGATGTAAACAAATTTGTGCACAACATTTGAGAGAAATAAACGTTATGTGCATATGGAACATGTCTTGGATGTTATATTCCATCTCATGAAACATGGGACCAACACTTTACATGTTGCGTTTCTATTTTTTAGTTCAGTGTAGATGATGAGGACCACTTCCTTATTTTACTTCCTGCTTTTGGACCACAAACCGATGAAATAAACACATAAAAAAACAGACCAGTGGTTCTCCAACCTCTCCTCAGGAAGTCCTTCCTTGTATGTGATCTAGTCCATTTACCCACAAAGCATCTCAGAAAAGGTCCAAGGAATCCTGTTCAAACCTTTTTTAAGACCAAAAAAAAAAAAAAACTCTGAGCTCAGAGTAGGTTTTAGGATGACGTTAAATAAAAACTCGGATAAAAGTTTATCTCAGTTGGTAATCACGATACTTTGAGGTAGCGCAAAGGAAAGATGGAGATGATGCTCAATTACATTGTTGCAAAAATAATGAGGAATAAACCAATCACGATGAGGCATCGGCCAGCTGCTCTATAGCACTCAGACAATCACGGTGAATTTGACTGTACATCAAATGTTGCTTGGTAAAACCTTTGATACAGTAACTGTCATTTTCGCCTGACTCAATCACTTCGCCTACTTTTAATGATTGTCTAATATGTTTGAAGCATAAACCTTATTCAACCCTTAACGTGATAGGCATTGCACTAAATCATCCAGTATGTTGCTGGTTGAAAGAGGAATGTTGATGGTGTTACTTTTATGTCGACACACTCGGCACTCCCGTTTAACAACTCCACACCGCTTTGTCACAGTAGGCATCGTGTCACTTCTAGACAACGTTGCTTAACAACGTTAGAAAAGTCTATCATTTTCATCAAACACAATCAAAGTGAACATAAAACCCTGGATGCCTTCAATTGCCCAACTTACAGTGGGGAAAAAAAGTATTTAGTCAGCCACCAATTGTGCAAGTTCTCCCACTTAAAAAGATGAGAGAGGCCTGTAATTTTCATCATAGGTACACGTCAACTATGACAGACAAAATGAGAAAATAAAATCCAGAAAATCACATTGTAGGATTTTTAATGAATTTATTTGCAAATTATGGTGGAAAATAAGTATTTGGTCAATAACAAAAGTTTCTCAATACTTTGTTATATACCCTTTGTTGGCAATGACACAGGTCAAACGTTTTCTGTAAGTCTTCACAAGGTTTTCACACACTGTTGCTGGTATTTTGGCCCATTCCTCCATGCAGATCTCCTCTAGAGCAGTGATGTTTTGGGGCTGTCACTGGGCAACACGGACTTTCAACTCCCTCCAAAGATTTTCTATGGGGTTGAGATCTGGAGACTGGCTAGGCCACTCCAGGACCTTGAAATGCTTCTTACGAAGCCACTCCTTCGTTGCCCGGGCGGTGTGTTTGGGATCATTGTCATGCTGAAAGACCCAGCCACGTTTCATCTTCAATGCCCTTGCTGATGGAAGGAAGTTTTCACTCAAAATCTCACGATACATGGCCCCATTCATTCTTTCCTTTACACGGATCAGTCGTCCTGGTCCCTTTGCAGAAAAACAGCCCCAAAGCATGATGTTTCCACCCCCGTGCTTCACAGTAGGTATGGTGTTCTTTGGATGCAACTCAGCTTTCTTTGTCCTCCAAACACGACGAGTTGAGTTTTTACCAAAAAGTTATATTTTGGTTTCATCTGACCATATGACATTCTCCCAATCCTCTTCTGGATCATCCAAATGCACTCTAGCAAACTTCAGACGGGCCTGGACATGTACTGGCTTAAGCAGGGGGACACGTCTGGCACTGCAGGATTTGAGTCCCTGGCGGCGTAGTGTGTTACTGATGGTAGGCTTTGTTACTTTGGTCCCAGCTCTCTGCAGGTCATTCACTAGGTCCCCCCGTGTGGTTCTGGGATTTTTGCTCACCGTTCTTGTGATCATTTTGACCCCACAGGGTGAGATCTTGCGTGGAGCCCCAAATCGAGGGAGATTATCTGTGGTCTTGTATGTCTTCCATTTCCTAATAATTACTCCCACAGTTGATTTCTTCAAACCAAGCTGCTTACCTATTGCAGATTCAGTCTTCCCAGCCTGGTGCAGGTCTACAATTTTGTTTCTGGTGTCCTTTGACAGCTCTTTGGTCTTGGCCATAGTGGAGTTTGGAGTGTGACTGTTTGAGGTTGTGGACAGGTGTCTTTTATACTGATAACAAGTTCAAACAGGTGCCATTAATATAGTTAACGAGTGGAGGACAGAGGAGCCTCTTAAAGAAGAAGTTACAGGTCTGTGAGAGCCAGAAATCTTGCTTGTTTGTAGGTGACCAAATACTTATTTTCCACCATAATTTGCAAATAAATTCATTAAAAATCCTACAATGTGATTTTCTGGAGAAAAAAAATCTTAATTTGTCTGTCATAGTTGACGTGTACATATGATGAAAATTACAGGCCTCTCTCATCTTTTTAAGTGGGAGAACTTGCACAATTGGTGGCTGACTAATTACTTTTTTCCCCCACTGTATAGTCATGTCCAATTTAGACATTTTATTTTTTGCTAATGTTATATTGCGCTCCAAAGGGATAACTTGAAATAACATGATACAGGTTAATGAAATAATCAAAATAAAAATATGTGATTATTTAGTAGTCTAGCGGTTATAAGTATTTAGGCATTTCATGTGAATTAGGCCTCGTGTGAAATTATTGTCCAAAACGCAAGCGATACTATTACATATTTGTCTAGATTATTTATGGGTTGATCATATAGAAATATCAAAGCATTCTTTCAACAACTCCAAAGCAATTGCCTGTCTATGGTGCAGGAACCACCGACTCACTACATTTTTTCTATTATCAAGACACCTGCTGGTAACTCTTAACTGGTTAGGACAGCTTTTATTTTTACCATCAGAGTAGGAGTAAAACGTCTCTATGCTCAGCACTTATGACCATCAGGTTCTACTCTGAGACACTTTGTGGATACGGCCCCAGAGCTAGAGCGACTGATTCTTGTCAGGTATTCATCAAGCACTTGGACTAGGTGAATCAGGTGAGTTAGCTCAGGGCTTAATTCTGAAACGTCTGGGGGGTCACCGAGGAGATATATGAGAACCACTGATCTAGACAATCTAGAAAGGGGGTTATTTGTTGGTTAAAAGTTTGGGTTCAGAGACAGGGGGTGGAGGAGGAGGAGGAGGAGGATGAGGAGGAGGATGAGGAGGAGGAGGTGGAGGAGGAGGATGAAAGTGATGGGTGGATATAGAGCAGCAGAGAAGGAGAACGAGGGGGGCCCTGGTCAGCAGAGAAGGAGAGCGAGGGGGCCCTGGTCAGCAGAGAAGGAGAGCGAGGGGGGCCCTGGTCAGCAGAGAAGGAGAGCGAGGGGGCCCTGGTCAGCAGAGAAGGAGAGCGAGGGGGGCCCTGGTCAGCAGAGAAGGAGAGCGAGGGGGCCCTGGTCAGCAGAGAAGGAGAGCGAGGGGGCCCTGGTCAGCAGAGAAGGAGAGCGAGGGGGCCCTGGTCAGCAGAGAAGGAGAGCGAGGGGGCCCTGGTCAGCAGGGAAGGAGAGCGAGGGGGCCCTGGTCAGCAGAGAAGGAGAGCGAGGGGGCCCTGGTCAGCAGAGAAGGAGAGCGAGGGGGCCCCTGGTCAGCAGAGAAGGAGAGCGAGGGGGCTATAGCTAATAGGGTACTATTTCAGGTCAGGTGTGTTATTTAATGCTACTCACATTTCAGGGTCTCCATAATGAACCTTTTCAGGTAGAACATGTTCTTAGAGTCCTCTGTCTTGATCTCTCCCTGGACAAACCTGGTGTTATGTAGTAATTACAGGTATTAGTACAGTTCATAACATAACAGACTACAGTTCATAACATAAACTACAGTTCATAACAGACTACAGATCATAACATAGACTAAAGTTTAGAACATAAACTACAGTTCATAACATAAACTACAGTTCATAACATAGACTACAGTTCAGAACATAGACTACAGTCATAACACACTACAGTTCATAGCATAGACTACAGTTCATAACATAAAATAGACTACAGTTCATAACAGACTATAGATCATAACATAGACTAAAGTTTAGAACATAGACTACAGTTCATAACATGTTTTGCAAATGTATTACAAATAAAAAACAGAAATACCTTATTTTCATTAGTATTCAGACCCTTTGCTATGAGACTCGAAATTGAGCTCAGGTGCATCCTGTTTCCATTGACCATCTTTGAGATGTTTCTACAACTTAATTGGAGTCCACCTGTGGTAAATTCAATTGATTGGACATTATTTGTAAAGGCACACACCTGTCTATATACAGTCGTGGTCAAAAGTTTTGAGAATGACACAAATACACATTTTCACAAAGTCTGCTGCGTCAGTTTTGATTATGCTAATTTGCATATACTCCAGAATGTCATGAAGAGTGATCAGATGAATTGCAATTAATTGCAAAGTCCCTCTTTGCCATGAAAATGAACTTAATCTAAAAAAACATTTCCACTGCATTTCAGCCCTCCACAAAAGGACCAGGTGCCATCATGTCAGTGATTCTCTCGTTAACACAGGTGAGAGTGTTGACGAGGACAAGGCTGGAGATCACTCTGTCATGCTGATTGAGTTAGAATAACAGACTGGAAGCTTTCAAAGGAGGGTGGTGCTTGAAATCATTGTTCTTCCTCTATTAACCATGGTTACCTGCAAGGAAACACGTGCCGTCATCATTGCTTTGCACAAAAAGGGCTTCACAGGCAAGGATATTGCTGCTAGTAAGATTGCACCTAAATCAACCATTTATCGGATCGCCAGTACCGACTCCTAAAGTTGATTCAGCTGCGGGATCGGGGCACCACCAGTGCAGAGCTTGCTCAGGAATGGCAGCAGGCAGGTGTGAGTGTATCTGCTCGCACAGTGAGGCAAATACTTTTGGAGGATGGCCTGGTGTCAAGAAGGGCAGCAAAGAAGCCACTTCTTTCCAGGAAAAACATCAGGGACAGACTGATATTCTGCAAAAGGTACAGGGATTGGACTGCTGAGGACTGGGGTAAAGTCATTTTTTCTGATGAATCCCCTTTCCGATTGTTTGGGGCATCCGGAAAACATCTTGTCCGGAGAAGACAAGGTGGGCGTTACCATCAGTCCTGTGTCATGCCAACAGTAAAGCATCCTGAGACCATTCATGTGTGGGGTTGCTTCTCAGCCAAGGGAGTGGGCTCACTCACAATTTTGCCTAAGAACACAGCCATGAATAAAGAATGGAACCAACACATCCTCCGAGAGCAACTTCTCCCAACCATCCAAGAACAGTTTGGTGACGACCAATGCCTTTTCCAGCATGATGGAGCACCTTGCCATAAGGCAAAAGTGATAACTAAGTTGCTCGGGGAACAAAACATCAACATTTTGGGTCCACGGCCAGGAAACTCCCCAGACCTTAATCCCATTGAGAACTTGTGGTCGATCCCCAAGAGGCGGGTGGACAAACAAAACCCCACAAATTCTGACAAACTCCAAGCATTGATTATGCAAGAATGGGCTGCCATCAGTCAGGATGAGGCCCATAAGTTAATTGACAGCATGCCTGGGCGGATTGCAGAGGTCTTGAAAAAGAAGGGTCAATACTGCAAATATTTACTCTTTGCATAAACTTAATGTAATTGTCAATAAAAACCTTTGACACTTATGGAATGCTTGTAATTATACTTCAGTATATCATAGTAACATCTGACAAAAATATCTCATAGCACTGAAGCAGCGAACTTTGTGAAGACCAATACTTGTGTCATTCTCAAAACTTTTTGACCACGACTGTAAGGTCCCACGGTTGACAGTGCATGTCAGAGCAAAAACCAAGCCATGAGGTCGAAGGAACCTCCTCCAGAGCGCTCAGGACCTCAGACTGGGGGGCGAAGGTTCACCGTTCAACAGGACAACGACCCTAAGCACAGGAGTGGCTGAATGTCCTTGAGTGGCCCAGCCAGAACCCATTGTCCTGTTGGAAGGTGAACCTTGGCCCCAGTCTGAGGTCCTGAGCATTCTGGAGCAGGTTTTCATCAAGGATCCCACTGTACTTTGCTCCGTTCATCTTTCCCTCGATCCTGACTAGTCTCCCTGTCCCTGCTGCTGAAAAACATCCCCACAGCATGATGCTCCCACCACCATGCTTCACCGTGGGGATGGTGCCAGGTTTCCTCCAGACGTGACGCTTGGCATTCAGGCCATAGAGTTCAATCTTGGTTTCATCAGACCAGAGAATCTTGTTTCTCATGGTCTGAAAGTCTTTAGGTGCCTTTTGGCAAACTCCAAGTTGTCATGTGGCTTTTACTGAGGAGTGGCTTCCGTCTGGCCACTCCACCATAAAGGCCTGATTTGGTGGAGTGCTGCAGAGATGGTTGTCCTTCTGGAAGGTTCTCCCATTTCCACAGAGAAACTCTGGAGCTCTGTCAGAGTGACCGTCAGGTTCTTGGTCACCTCCCTGACCAAAGTCCTTCTCCCCCGATTGCTCAGTTTGGCCGGGCAGCCAGCTCTAGGAAGAGTCTTGGTGGTTCCAAACTTCTTCCATTTATGAATGATGGAGGCCATTGTGTTCTTGGGGACCTTCAATGCTGCAGACATTTTTGGTACCCTTTCCCAGATCTGTGCCTCAACACAATCCTGTCTCAGAGCTCTACGGACAATTCCTTCAACCTCATGGCTTGTTTTTTGCTCTGACATGCACTGTCAACTGTGGGACAACATAGAGACAGGTGTGTGCCTTTCCAAATCATGTCCAATCAATTGAATTTACCACAGGTGGACTCCAATAAAGTTGTAGAAACATCTCAAGGATGATCAATGGAAACAGGATGCACCTGAGCTCAATTTCGAGTCTCATTGCAAAGGGTCTGAATACTTACGTACATAAGGTATTTCAGTATTTTATTTTAATACATTTGCAGAAAATGTCTAAAAACCTGGTATCACTTTGTTATTATGTGGTATTGTGTGAAGATTAATGAGGATTTGTATTTATTTAATCCATTTTAGAATAAGGCTGTAACGTAACAAAATGTGGAAAAGGTCAAGGGGTCTGAATACTTTCTGAATGCTTTCTGAATGCACTGTAATCAACAGAAGCACATTAGACACATAAAGGCTTCATAATTCATAAAGGTCATGTTAACTGACTGATATTACCTCATAGAACAAAACATATATGATATCTTAAACCTGTATTAACCTCAGATGTTATTTTAGTTTATCCCAAAACCCCATTAATTTCCCCATAAGAATGGCTGAACGTGTAAGTCGCTCTGGATAAGATGATGTAAATGTAAATGTAAATCCAAGATGGCATAGCAGTGCGGTCGTGTTTTCTGTAGTGTCCTCATGTAAATAGCCTGTTTTTAGTTTTTTTTGTGTTTTTCGTATATATTTCTCAATCTCACTTTCCATCCTTTAACTAAATATAATTTCCTGCAACCCGCCTCACCCAATGTGGAACAGATTCTGTTGTTTCTTCATAAATTTTTATCCAGAACCTCTGGACTGAAACTAGCCAGCTAGCCAGCCAACTAGCTACTTGCTATTAGCCACCGTTAGCGGTCTTCACCATTGTCCGTGGCCGTGGCCTGCACTACCTATCGACCCAGAGCATATCGGACTTTCTGCCGGAATCACTGAATCACTGGACCTTAACACCGGATCATCGCAACTAGCTAGCTGCAACCGAATGGCTGTTGTCGTGTTGGCTAATCACCACTGTCCTGAAGCTAACCCCAGTTAGCCTTGAGCTAGCCTCGAGCCAGGCCCATCTCCCGGCTATCTACCTCTCTGTCAACCGGACGGGACCTCCTGGTGTTGACACGGAGCCCCGCTGATCCATCACGACTGGTCTGCCGACGTAATCATCTGATGTGGTTTCAACAGGCTTCCCGTTGCGACGACCACGAAGATCCATCTGCTAGCCCCGGCCCGCTAGCACACGCAATCAACAGCCGTGCCTCCAGCTCGCCTGTAGCGTAGCAGCCACTGAACTGCTCCCGGACTCACTTAGTGCTGTTCACTGGACCTTATGATCACTCAGCTACACAGCTGATGCCTGCTGGACTGTTCCTTTATACGGTACCCCATCCTGTTTAGCCTCAGCTCAAACTTTCGTCGCCATTACCAGCTGTTGTCTTAGCTCTCTCGAATAGCACCTGTGATTGCTTTATGCCTCTCTCCCATGTCAATATGCCTTGCCTATTGCTGTTTCGGTTAGTTCTAACTGTACTTTTTCAATGTAGAGCCCCAAGTCCAGCTCAACCTGCCTCAGATAGCTCTCCTTTGTCCCACCCTCCATACACGCGGAGACCGACTCAATCGGTGCCTCCAGTGATGCTATCTCTTTCATCTTTACCCAACGCTTAGGTTTACCTCCACTGTACTCATATACTTCCATATCCTTGTCTGTACATAATGCCCTGAATCTATTCTACAACGCCCAGAAATCTGACCCTTTTGTTCTCTGTACCCAACGCACTAGAAGACCAGTTCTTAAAGCCTTTAGCCGTATCCTTATTCTACTCCTCCTCTGTTCCTCTGGTGATGTAGAGGTTAACCCAGGCCCTGTAGCCCCCAGTATCACTCCTGCTCCCCAGGCGCTATCATTTGTTGACTTCTGTAACCGCAAAAGCCTTGTTTTTTTGCATGTTAACATCAGAAGCCTCCTCCCTAAGTTTGAGTTATTCACTGCGTTAGCACACTCCGCCAACCCTGATGTTCTAGCAGTGTCTGAATCCTGGCTTATCTGACATTTCCATTCCCAACTACAACATTTCCCGTCTAGATAGAACTGCCAAAGGGGGCGGAGTTGCAATCTACTGTAGAGATAGCCTGCAGAGCTCTATCATAATATCCAGGTCTGTGCCCAAACAGTTTGAGCTTCTACTTCTAAAAATCCACCTTTCCAGAAATAAGTCTCTCACTGTTGCCGCTTGCTACAGACCCCCCTCAGCCCCCAGCTGGGCCCTGAACACCATATGTGAATGGATTGCCCCCCATCTAGCCTCGGAGTTCATATTGCTTGGTGACCTAAACTGGGATATGCTTAACACCCAGGCCATCCTACAATCTAAACTAGATGCCCTCAATCTCACACAAATTATCAAGGAACCTACCAGGTACAACCCTAAATCCGTTAACATGGGCACGCTCATAGATATCATCCTGACTAATTTACCCTCTAAATACACCTCCGCTGTCTTCAACCAGGATCTCAGCAATCACTGCCTCATTGCCTGCGTCCGTAATGGGTCCGCGGTCAAACGACCACCCCTCATCACTGTCAAAAGCTCCCTAAAACACTTCAGCGAGCAGGCCTTTCTAATTGACCTGGCCCGGGTATCCTGGATGGATATTGACCTCATTCCGTCAGTAGAGGATGCCTGGTTGTTCTTTAAAAGTGCTTTCCTCTCCATCTTAAATAAGTATGCCCCATTGAAAAAATTCAGAACTAAGAACAGGTATAGCCCCTGGTTCACCCCAGACTTGACTGCCCTTGACCAGCACAAAAACATCCTGTGGCGTACTGCATTAGCATCGAACAGCCCCCGCGATATGCAACTTTTCAGGGAAGTCAAGAACCAATATACACAATCAGTTAGGAAAGCAAAGGCTAACTTTTTCAAACAGAAATTTGCATCCTGTAGCACTAACTACAAAAAGTTTTGGGACACTGTAAAGTCCATGGAGAATAAGAGCACCTCCTCCCAGCTAGCCACTGCACTGAGGCTAGGAAACACTGTCACTACCGATAAATCTACGATAATCGAAAATGTCAACAAGCATTTTGCTACGGCTGGCCATGCTTTCCACCTGGCTACCCCTACCCCGGCCACCAGCTCTGCACCCTTCGCTGCAACTTGCCCAATATTCTAGGCAAATCCCCGCCTTATCTTAGCTCATTAGTCACCATAGCAACACCCACCAGTAGTATGCGTTCCAGCAGGTATATCTCACTGGTCATTCCCAAAGCCAACACCTCCTTTGGCCGCCATTCCTTCCAGTTCTCTGCTGCAAATGACTGGAACGAACTGCAAAAATCTCTGAAGCTGGAGACACTTATTTCCCTCACTATCTTTAAGCATCAGTTGTCAGAGCAGCTTACCGATCACTGCACCTGTACACAGCCCATCTGTAATTAGCCCACCCAACTACCTCATCCCCATATTGCTATTTACATTGTTATTTATTTTGCTCATTTGCACCCCAGTATCTCTATTTGCACATCATCTTCTGCACATCTATCACTCCAGCGTTAATACTAAATTATAATTGTAATTATTTTGCACTATAGCCTATTTATTGCCTTACCTCCATAACTTGCTACATTTGCACACACTGTATATAGATTTTCTATTTTGTTATTGACTGTATGTTTTGTTTATTCCATATGTAACTCTGTGTTGTTGTTGTTTTTACCACACTGCTTTGCTTTATCTTGGCCAGGTCGCAGTTGTAAATGAGAACTTGTTCTTCAACTGGCTATACCTGGTTAAATATAGTTGATATAAATAAATAAAATAAAAATAATAATAACTAATTTCCGTTTTATAGGATTACAAGCTGGCGAGCTCTGTATCCTCTGTCTTGACCTCTCCCTGGACAACCCTGTGTTGTTATGTAGTAGTAACAGTTATTAGTT